GTTGAGGACCTCCGTTAGGTATGCGACTCCCGCGGGCCCCAAATGTTTCAGCATCAGCATATAGACTCCGTCGGGTCTAATGGCTTTTGCCTTCCCGATGACCCCCTTCACTTCGCCGCTGGTGAAAGCAAGTGGTGCTCTGTTTTTAGGCAGTTTGTGCAATCTACTGGTCACTCGACGTTTGGCCTTGTCTACCGAAGGACGCACTCTGAATTTCCGGCTAAAGTAGCTCGCGTATTTCTTCGGGTCCGACGAAGCGCGACCTTCGAATGACATTTCCACATTGTCATCACGCTTCGTCGGGTTGGACAAGGACTTCATGGTTGACCAGAGCATACTTACACCATACGCGAAGTTACAGGCCTTCAAGTGCTCTTCCCACTTTTTCCGCTTGTGCTGATTTACCAGTTGCCGAATCTCCAAATTAAGGTCCTTCAAGCGAGGATCCCCGGGATCGACCTGGCGTAGGTGGTCACGTTCATTTGCTAGTACAGCTGCTTCAGCCGGGAAATTCGGACGGACTTCCGCGATGCGTCCGTATGGTTTGAAGCGAGCCGCTGTGGCAGTGACTACCCTGCGGAACTGGCGTTAGCCAGCATGTACACCTGTGGTTGTGGGAAGGTCGGCGAAGCTGCTCTCGGTAACTTCCGCGAAGCCGTTCCAATCAGCTTTGTTGAAGTTGGTGTAGGTTCGGTGGTCCGCGAGTGCAAAGTCGGTGAACTTATTGATCGAGATGATTATGGGCAGATGGTCTGATGCTAGTGTTAGCATAGGTCGCCATGATATGCTACTTATCAGACCAGCGCTAGCAATTGTTAGGTCTGGCGCGCTGCTGCAGCTACCCACAGTCCTGGTGGGGGTGTCGTCGTTCATGAATGTCGAATCGTCTAAGATCGCGGTGCGGGTTGAAGTCACCTACTACCATTCGGTTTTCACCTCTGAGTAGCGCACCTATGTCAGGGTGATATCCTGCCGGGCAGCAGGTGATAGGGGGTATATACACGTTAAATAATTCGAGCTCGACATCGCCTGACCGGACAGCTATGCCCTGACTTTCTAGGGTGGTTTCCCTCGGGTCGATGTCTTCTTCGATACGATGAACGCTGAACCACCATCATTATCTCGCTCGCGGTCTTTACGAAGCACATTGTAGGCGGCGGTGCAACTTCGTTTCTTGGACCGCAGCTATTAATATGCCATGCCGACCCATAAAGACTGCTATCTCCTCAATCTTGCTCTGAAGTACGTTGGAGTTAAGTTGTAAGAGTTTCGTATGCCTTGGGATTGGTGTGAGGGTTGAGGGGGTGGGGAGGTTTGCTGTAGCTCAGGGGAGCTTCTAGGAGCCGTGCAGGCTCTTCGGGTGCTGGTTCGCCACCTACGCATTGCACCAGCGGGTGGCCGTGGAGGCTGGTGCCGTTTGGCTTGAGCAACAGGGGGCCACAAAGCTTTGGGCTACTCTACTACAGAACAGGTTCTTGGCTGACTCCATCCGTTGCATGAATTGCACCTAACCGAAATGGATTTCGGATGGAGTCGATTCTCGCAAATGCAACAGAAGTATATTTCTGGTCCGGGGTTGGTCTCAAATCTTTAAAATGCCCATTTTGGGAACGTCTGTGAAGATTATATTCTCTAAAATTCTGTAAATTCACGGAAAATATTGATCACTCAGATCTGTAACATCTATGTTCCGTCCCGAATCTGTCAAATATTTAAACATACATACGGAGGATAAATAGGCAATTTAAAATTATATAGATTTCAGCGCTACCAAATTTGAATAAAATCGCGAAAGAAATTAATTTCGTGTTTTATGGTCTTGAGTTCTCAAAAAGCCTCAAAGAAAAATCCCATCCAGTTTTTCTAAAGTTGTAAAGCACTTATTCGGATTACAAAAACAAACTCTTTAACTGTTTAATACTCAACTAATGCGCCTCTACCAACGATCTACAATGGGTTTGAGAGCAACCAAATCAAAGTAAAGTTAACTGCCCGTCTACTACTTTTCTACTATACTAGCAGAAATCATCATGCAAAAAAAAAAAAATGTATAATATTTTGTAAGCTTTGTATATTTTCTCCTTTTTACAGTGCAACACCGCCAACGATAATGATGTGTTAACGAATTATGTAAATAATTCACTTTTAAATCGTTTTTCAAATCTTAACATAAACCGAATGCGTAGCAATGCATTAGGTAAGCTTTGGTAGCGTGAAATGTCGATGAAAACGCGGATTTCTTTTCTACTGTTGCAGGATGATATTGATGTGGACGAGATGGTCGAGTTCGATGAGTTTGGTGGCGTTATAGCCGATCTGGAGCGATTGCGCAAAATCAAAGATGAGCGTCGTAAGGAGCAGGAGGAGGAACGTGCATGGCGCAAAAAGAAGAAATCCAAAAGTCTTAAAGAGACAAAGAGTGTTAAATCGCCGAAACGCAAGCATAAGTCGAAAAAACGTAAGCGTTCTCGTAAGCATGCGCGCTCATCGTCTGCTTCGTCTGACAGCGAGAGCGGAGAGAGCTATGATAAGAAATCGGCATCAACTAAGCGCGCACGTAATAAGTCCTGCGATATTGAGGACGGTGAATTAACTGACTGTAGCAGCAGTGAGAGCGATATCGATAGTGAGGATAGCAAATGGGCTAGTGGAAAGGAGGGCAAGAGCGCTGCGACCTTTTCTGGCGGTGGTCGCTTACAAGGTTTGTTTAGTGCTATTTTTAATCCCTCTAAGAATGTTAGGAAAAGAAATTCGCGTTTAAGTCCAAATCTAATGCAATAAAATCTCATTTCCATTGTTATATAATCTAATTCTTAATATAATATCAAATATTTTGCCTTGCTGCTTTTTAGATATAGCCAAAAAGTATCCGCCCTCGCTGCGCGTTATTGTGCAGGAAAGTAATTTAGAAGGCCTGAAGGTTGGTAATCTTAGCCTCATTACCTACAAAGGTGGCAGTTTGGGGCGTGAAGGCAATCATGATGTCGTAATACCGGACGTGAATGTGTCCAAGGTGAGCAAATTTGCCATGAAAAGTGATTCTTCAATCAATTAAATATTTGTTTTACCTCTTAGCTACACATGAAATTTCACTACGACCACAAAGAGGCTGTTTACAAATGCATCGATTTGGGTTCACGCAATGGCACCGTATTGAATGGCGTACGCATGTCTGCCTCCAAACGAGAGAGCTCCGAGTATGATTTGGTGCATGGTAGCGTTCTACAAATCGGCCAAACGAAGCTATTATGCCACGTGCATGAAGGCAACAGCACATGTGGCTTGTGTGAGCCGGGTTTGCTGATCGAGTCG